TAGTACAAAAAGGGACAGACAGGCGGGGCCGGGCCCCATCCAATCCACTCCGGGCCTCCGGGTACAGCGCTATTTACAGTGTGTCCTTATCCTACAGAGTGAACAGAAAAGGCAAACGAGAGAAAACCCCAGTGTCGAGCCCAGCACGCGGTATGTAAATCGCCCGGCTCATCCGGAGCTAGGGAATGGCGCAGCGGGGACGTGCCGTGATACAGAGCGGACAGACAAGGACCAGGGCTGACCCTGTAAAGACGCATTGGCGGAGATGCCGCCCGTGCCATGCAGCTTGCTGCGTTCCTGCCCTTGGTGACTTGGCTGGTTTAATACGCTACCTCTTGGCTCTTCCTTCCTCGCCAGCAATGGGCGCAAACCTGGAATCCAGTGCTAGATGCCAAGGGTTGATTCAAAGCCTACAGCATACAGCTGGGTCCCGGCACCCAACTGGGCCATACCCAGCCCAGTGCTGGCGCACTCACAGGGACGCCTGGCCATGGTGAGGAGGGTGAAATAATGGGTGCGGTTGGGCAAGAAATTAAGGCCTAGGGCCCCGATCCTGAAAAGGGATTCAAGTGCCTCACGCCCACTGAAATGAAATGGGGGCAAGGTGCTTACGCACCTGGGAGAGTCCCCCCAGGAGCGACAGCTCTTGAGCGCCTTCAAACCCAGGTCTCCAAAACGGAAGCCACAATGTGTGTAAAAGAAACCTCTGGGTGGGATCACTGGATTCCAGTGGGGATTTCATTACCCAGCCACCTGTAATTAGGGTGACCAGATGTCCCAATTTTATAGGGACAGTCCCCATTTTGGGGGCTTTTTCTTATATAGGCACCTATTACCCCCCACCCCCGTCCCAATTTTTTACACTTGCTGTCTGGTCACCCTACCTGTGCTGCTAAGCACCGAAAACCAGAATATGGCACCTCCCTTTGAGACAGAGCCCAGCTGCCCAGTATGAATCCAGCTCTGAATCCAAACGTGTGTGTGTGTGTGGGGGGGGTGATCTTGGGTTCGGCGTTGGGCTCATCTTTACCTGAAAGATGCCAACGATTTTTCTTCGACCACGGCCCAGAAACCAATAGGTGTCAGGCACCGAAATATCTTTGAGGCTCTTGACCTCGGTCTTGCTGAGAGTTTGTGCAGCACACCCAGGCCCCCGTCCCGAACGGGCTCTCTGGCTGCTCCTACACCGTCGGTGTTACCAAAGCAAAGGGGATTGAGAGATGAGCAGCTCTGGTGAGGATGGAGCTGGAGAGATGAACAGTAGGGGGAAGAATGAAGAGAACTCAGTATTAAGAGCTTTGCTAAGTGGTGGCTAAGAGACAGTGAGGTCCTGCTAATTGCCTGCAACTCTTGGAAAGGGGCCAATGGAAGAGGAGGAATCACGTGGGTTGGGACAATGGGAGTTTTGAGCAAAAGCAAATTTCTCAGCAGCAAGAGGGATCAGTCTGGAACGGTCGCCCTGGGGCAGAGGTGGCTGGGCCATTGCTTGAGTCGTTTAAGATCACAGACCAAAGCCCTGGAGACCAGAGTCTGCAGGATAGACTAGATGGAGAAAAGCCTGGGGTGTCCCATCTCTGTCCGCACGGATTCTACCTCCATTGTTAAGAGCCGCGGACATCATCTGTGTCCATTTGTCATTTCACCCCTGCGTAATGCTCCAGTGCAGCTGGACCGCTTTCAACCGCTCGAGGGGCATAACATCAGCAGATTTGCGTGAGGTAAAGCTCATAGCCAAGAGTAGCAAAAACCAGCGCCCAAGGGGATTGTGCACATTAAACCAGCCAATGGAACCTTCTGCTACAGCCAAAGCTATCCTCCCCCCTGAAGTTCCCAGTGTTGGTATTGGGTTACATTGACAGGGTGCACGTGTCCACAATTACACACAGAGCGAAGCGAACACCTTAGATCTGCACAGGAAATTGCTGCAAATCCCTGGCAGCGCCGGTCCAAGGGTCTGCCCTTGGGAGGGTCACAGATACATTTCAATGGGAACGCCCCCCCATGCCTACACACACGGCGTTGGGGGGGGGGGGGGGGAAACGGGGAAATGCACCAGGCCAGATTTTCCTTACACCAAAAGGCCTCTTGGGTTGGTTTTAAGCCCCCGGAGAGTCAGGGACAGAGAGATTCTGTGCATAGGCCTCGGTCATAACCAGAGGCACCATGTGCCAGACCCCCCAAGCCCTGCACCCCGAGATAGCACACGACTGAGAAAGGCAGGTCGGGTGTTGTTTTGTGTCGTCTCCGAGCAAAAGCAAACCGGAAAGATAGCAGCACCTGCCTCCTGCCAGAGAGGCCCTTTGGGAAAGCAGGGCAGTGGGTCCAGGCCGAAGGAGAGGCAGCTGATCGCACTCTGCCTGTGACATGTTAGTGTGTGGGGCCAACCTCCACCAGCAACGAAGTTCGCCCTTGCTCCCCGCTGCGGGGCTGCCCATCGAGCCAGGAGCCCACTGTCCTACCCTCCCCACCAAGATGCCAGGCTGCTGCATCTGGCCAGATCCACAGGGGCTCCAGTAACCACCAGCATTAGGCACTGGCTGCCCTACTCCACACCTCCGCCCTCCATCGCCACCAGGGTGAACTCAATGCAACAGGTTGCAGGATGGGGAGATCCGAGATCGGAGCTACTGCTCTCTCCTCCACTCATGTATTGTTCACCAGCGTGTGCCCATAGCCACCTCCCCAGCACAGGTGGCAAGCTGCATGGGTCAGCGTAGGCACCTGGGCAGGGCAGGCCCATGGGATCAGACCTGTCAAGAGACCAGGCTGGTGCAGCAGCTCTGGCTGTGGGTGGCACCAGGTGGAGCGCGATAGGGCCAGGTGTTTGTCTAGAGGACGTATTTGTAAGTCATGTCCACGGTCACGTAGGGACGGGGTGGATTCTCCGTCACTTGGAGCCTTGAAATCGTGACTCTTTACATGATCCGCTTGAGCCCAACCATGAGCTTTGGCTGGCGGCAGGAATCCCTGGGTGAGGTTCTCTGGACCCCCAGAAGTGTAAGCAGGGTCCTGGGGTCCGACAGGCCCTTGGAGGCTGAGAGACCTTGTCCAGAACTGCCTGGTTACGGATGCTCACGAGACCCAGCTCACGGCCGGCAGCGACGTCAAACCCGAGCACAGCGGGCAGAGGCCAGGGATGCATCTCTGTTAGCAGCAGGCACCCCTCCAAGTCATGGAGCCGGACAGGGATCGACCTATCCCAGCCCACAGCAGGGAGTGTGGTGGGGCTAGGACCGCGTTTCCAGTTCGGCTTTCCTCCCTACTCGCCGGAGAGCGGTGAGGGCCTTGGCGGTCCCTAAACATACGTCAGTGGAACATTTATGCAGGACAGGAGCACCGCAGGCACCAGCAGAGATGGGGTTAAACACGCCCTCCCCCCACCTTGTTACACATATTGACTCTGTTTGGTGCTCATGGGCTGGGATCCAGCCACGTACCCAATGAATTGGCCAACACGTGCCCTTGGCTCATACGCTCCAGGCTGCTCCGTTGGCAGAGGTAATAAGGCAACATTGCAGCACCATGGTTCGTTCCCCCCATTCCACAGCCACCTATTCTGGCTGTACAGTTGCATATTTCTTTTGCAGGCCTTGGCTTGGATCTTCACAGCTTGCAGAGACAGCAGCGCAGATTCAGTCCGCAGCACGAGGCAGGGCAGCTTCCCAGACTGGGGCTTCTGCTCCCTGTGTGGTCCTGGGCGAGGGAGATCCCTCGGCAGCTTCCTGCTCCGGGGAAGGGACGTGCCTCCGCCCACAGCTCGGCTTGAGCAGCTCAGGCTGAATTCCAAGCAAGACCATAGGCTGCTTGCCAGAGACTCAACCCGAGGTGTGAGTCTGTCTCGATTGCTAGGAAACAGCACCCACTGAGCTATTATCCCTCGGGCCACGAGTTACTGGCCCCCTGGGCTGAGTATATGAATGGCCCTGGGGGAGTAGTTGCCTAGAGGATGTGTCTGCACATCACCAAGTCCCATGGTCACCAAGGGCCAGGGTACGTTCTCCAGAACTTAGAGCCTTTAAATCAAGACTGTGTGTCTCTTTCTAAGCCATCACACTCAAGCTGTGGGCTGGATGCAAGAATGGGGGATGGGGGGGGAGGGAGTCCTCTAGTCCGTGCTATGTAGGTGCTGAGCAGAGATGAGAATGGTTCCCTCTGGCCTGAATGTCTAGGGCTGCTATCTCGGGCTATTTCATGGCCTTCTGATGTCCAGAAAGCGATCGATGACAGATGCGGGATGGTGCCATCCAAACCAACTTGGGACTCCTGAGACGAGAAACCCCTGCAATGTAATGCACACCAGCGGTACTGAACCCACCGCATGGATGGACCTAAGCCAACGCTCCCAGCCTGCCCTGGGGCCTGAGGGAAATGAGGAAGGGCTCTCCAAGGGCGTTGGCTGGGGGAGGAGGAGGGGGCTCTTTCACTGGTTCCCCTGCTGCTGTGCATGGAGGAGGGAGGCCCATGTGCTGCCCGCCCCTTCTCTAGATGCCACCTAATGGCTACTGAGATCTCTATGCTGGACATGGAGCAAGAGCTCTGCATGCACTAACCATGCATGGAGATGTGTCATAGGCAGGGCCTCCTCTGCCAGCCCCCTCACCTCAATGTCCTGTCACCCTCTACCCTAGCCAGCTGAGAATGCTCATGGGGGACGGATACTACCAGCGCTGCTGGCTTGGTGGGAGATTGTCACCATCTCTCGCTACTCCCTCGGACTTGAGCTGCCAGGGGCCGCAGCAGCACGGTCTCTCAGCTCCCACTGCCAGGGTCTGGTCCCCGGCTATGGGCATCTTGTGCTTATAGAAGATGGGTGTCACAAAGTCAGGGGTGGGGAGGGGAACCCCCCCCCAGCCAGTTGTGCTTCTTTGTGAGTGTCGTGCTGCTGACTGAAGCCACGTTGAGTCTGACAGGAGCTGCAAGGGGGGAAATCAGTCACTGGAGAGTATCCAGTCAGCACCAGTTTCATCACCGAGGTGACTGGGGGCGGGGGGAGGGGGGAAAGAGGGGAGAGAAAAAAACAACAGCTACAAAAATAAACGAGTCCAACGGAAATGGAAAAAAGGAATCAACTCAATACGAGGCTGCCCGCCCCTCCTCGGGCCACAGCAACGGGGAGAAACCAACCAGAACCAGAGGAACAAAGGAAGAACTGAACTCTGTCCAAATCAAATGGGTGGGTGTGGGGGGGAATAATATAACCAAAGCAGGGTTTATTGGGAAGTCCTGGTTTAAATGACGGTCATGCAGATTAAATAAGGGATGTACAAAGACAGAGCTGAGAGTCCGCTTCCTCCTCCCAGGCCTTCGCTTGCACTGGAGTTTGTTGGGTGGCTGGCGCGGGAGACAGTGGAAGCCGGTGCCCAGTGGGTCTCTGACAGCGCGACTCAGACACATTCATCAGGAATTTGTTCTTCTCTTTGCCCCGCAGATTGTTTAATTAAAACAACAACAAAAAATCCTCGTTCTGGGGCTGCATGCTCCTCCCTGCCCCCCCAGCGCACCCCGGGAGGGGTCCCGCGGGGTCCCCGCCCCGTGCAGGTGCCTGCCCGTTGGTGCCGGGGAGTCTGTGTTGGCTGCATTCGGCCCCCAATCCCCAGGAGTTTGCGACAGAGACAGAAAAACCGAGAAGAAAAACCAGGATTCTCCTACCGCCAGAGTCAGGCTGGGAGGCAGGTGCCTCGCGCTTTCTCGGGGGCCGAGCCCTGCTGCCCCCATGCCCAAAGGGGACGTGCCAGAGCCCCGCGTCCCCGCCGCTTTCCAGCCCCGGCCGCACACTCCCAGGAGACCAAACGAAAAGCAAAACCAGCCCGCGGGAACGCTGGCGGCCGAGGGCGGCGAGATCCCCTCCCCGGTGCGGTGTGGCCTCACGGCGTCGGCTGCAGGTTGGGATCCACCAGGGTCTCTCGGTCCGGAGACTCGATGTAGTTGGCTGCTTCCTGGAGCTTCAGCAACATGGCCATCTGCGCAGGAGGTAAGGGCACCGAGAGCGGGTCAGCCAAGCACGTCCGCAGCGGGGCACGGCCAGCGCCCCCCACACCTAACCCACAGCCCCTCTCGCCCTTGACCGTCAGCCAGTCCAGTCCTGCCCTGCAGATGCCCCTCCAAGCCTGCCCCAGCCCTCAGCTCTACCAGAGCCCCCCACTCCTGACCTGCGGAGTCCCCACCCCATGTTCTCATCCTTCAGCTGGAGCTCTGTGACCCAGGAACCTCTCGGTGCCAACTGGCGCAGGGATACACAGATTTTCATAGGAATCCCCTGGGTCAAGTAGACACACATGAGTTCACCAAAGGGTGGCAACGTGAGGTCACGACTGAGAGCCAATAGCCTGCTGCTCCTCGTAAGCGTTGCAAGATGCGAGTAAGGCGAACACTGAAGAAGTTACGTGTCTACACTGAAAATTACGATTGGAAGGGAAGGCTGGTCAGCCCAGGAGGGATGCTGGACAGGTGGGTTCTTTCCAGGCAGGGGGTAACAGATGCTTCTCTCTAGGTCTGATGGGGTGTGTATTGTGCATTGCAGGGCTGACGAGGGATGCCTGTTTGCAGACGAAGCCAGATACCAGCCTGCTTGTACTGGGCCCCATCTGCCATGTGTTTTGGCTTGCTCCCCCCAGCACCCGTTATACGGAGCAGCCCCGCTATCAGCTGCGTGCTCAATGGAATCTGTCTCTGGGGAGCATCTCCAGCCTGAAACATCCCTGGGGGCAGGAGGGGAGGTTGCTCTGTGACGGTGTATGGACAGACACCTGGGGAGGATGGACTCACCTCCCCACCAGCCAGCTGGTCAATGGGATGCCCCTGTGCTCCCCACCAACCCTCCCCATAGTAACCCCCTTCCCCTCCAGGACCCCCTACCCCTGCCCCCGCTGCCTCTGTGACCCCCACCCCCATATCTCACAGGCTCTGATCCCCCACATACTCGCTTGCGCCCCCTACTGGAAGCGGCCCATACCAGGGGGTCGGAGTCCAAGGAGCTGGGCGTGGTGTCTTTGACAGTCCGCTCCTCCGGGGGGGAGGCTGTGGTGTGGGGCCCCACGCTGGGCGGGGGCAGGTGGTACAGCTTCGATTGGTCCTGCTGCGCTGACGGCCAGGGCAGGGTGTCCCGGACCCACTCCACGGGGTCTTCCCAGGCTGCTTTCTGGCCGTGGACCTGAAAGGGGAGGCAGAGACTGGGTGAGGGGGTGCAGGGCTCAATGCTCACGGCACCGTGGGTCCAACTGCCCCACGGAGGCAGCTGCAGCTCAGTCCCACTGATGGACAGTGGGGCTCAGGACAGGGAAGGACTGGAAGGTCAAGGTTAGCGCAGGCAGAGACTGGACAACCTTCTAATACCCAGCTCTGCTGGTGCCCCTCAATCCCGACCCTGCCCAGTCCAGCCCTCCTCATCTCCTGCCAGCTCTGTTGTGGGTCATTCTCCTGGCTGTGGGGCAGAGGGCTCAGGGCCATTCTTCTGATCGGATGCCCCCCACGAGGGCTGGGTCAGTTCAGCCCACGCTTGGCAGGCAGAGGTTTCGGCCGGGTACCTTGATCCCGTCCTTCGCCCCCTCCTGCAGGTAGGGGATGATGGAATTATTCCACAAGTCGATGAACCAGGTCCGGAAATCCTCAATCCCGATGGGACAGGACAGGAAGAAGCAGGGGCCTGCAGGAGGGGAGGGGACAAGGAGAGGCCAGTGAGGTGAGCCGAGCAGACACAAGCCCCCCCATCCGACTTGGCCTCTAGGACCTGCTGTGCACCTCCCCAGCCCTTGGCTACCAGGTCTCGGCTCCTCCCAGCCTGCACAGCCACAAGGGAACCACGATCCCAGAAGGTGCCTCAATCCTGCGCCTATGAGGTTCTCAACCCGGAACACCTGTCCCCTCCCCAGAGGAGGCCGCGCTCCCAACAAGGACTTGGACCAGCCTCAGCCGTGATCCCAGCCCCAACCCCAGCAGGGCTGTGATGGAAACACAGCGCTGGCACCTGGGCAGAGGTTGCTCCTGACCCTCGCCTGGAGCTGAGCGCCCTGCCCAAGTGGCCAGTCTGCCCCTGCAAAGGCTGCACTGGATGCACCCACCCCAAGCTGTTTGCCACAGCTATCTCTGGGGCAGGGGCCACTGGGGACGGAGCAGGATGGCGGCACTGGGAATGCATTCCGGCACTGCTGGGCAGCAGCTCCCTGAAAACATCCCCCGGAATTTGGATCTTTCACCCCAAGGGCTTTACAAACCAGAGAGACGTGCACTGAAATGCAGCCGCCTCTGGGACGGCACACTGGTGGAGGAGAGGCCGTTAGGGACCCAAGGCAGGGGACCAGATCCCCCTCTGCAGGAAGCACCCTGGCAGGCTGGATGTATAACAGAGTGAAAGTTGTGGGGAAACAGGGCAAAAATAACCCACCCACAAACGCCAAGAGTGCCTGGATTGGGCAGGGATAGAAATGGAGCTGCTTTCCCAGAGCTCTGAAATATTTCCCAGGACTTTTTTTTTTTTTTTTTTTTTAAATCAAAATCTTTATCAAAATCCTAATTGAAAAATGGGTCTTAGAATCTTTGGGTCACCCCAAACACTTGGTTTCAGGTGATGAGTAATTTTAATAATGGTTTTTGGTAACAATCTCGATGAAAAATTCAATATGAAATATCACCCACAAAAAAAAAAAAAAAATCAAAAATGTTTGTTTTGGGGCAAAAAAGGAAATTTCTCAAGGAAAATACAGCCTGGAAGTTCAAAAAACGTGTATCAGCACCATCTTAGCACTCATCCTAGCTGGACGCCAAATCCCAGCCCATCTCACCATGGCGGTGGAGCTCCTGTGTTCTGACACTGCCATGTGACTCTTAGAAGTCCCGCCTTCTGAAGGCGATACTTCCTGCTGTGCTGCGGGAGCCTGGCCAACAGATCAGGCAAGTGCAGGGGATTGGCTTTGGCTCTTGTTTCCAGGTCAGTGGTAGGTTTGCCAACGACTCAGTAGACAGCCAATGGAAGTTGATTATTGCCTAGAAGGGGCAAAGCATTTAGCCCTGCCCCCTCCTGCAGGCTGCTCCGCTGTGGGAAGGCCAGTGGCAGAGAAACTGCCTGCTGGGGGAGCTGCAGAGCCATTCCATGGGCCGTAGCGGGTCTGCTCCGTTTCCTGTCTCCGCCCCGGCCCTGCTGGCTCCCACCCCGCTCACCGATGAGGAAGTCCGAGGTGCTGTGCTTCTCCAGGAAGGTGTGCAAGTGGTACCAGAGCTTGGGCACCCAGTCCAGCACCCGCAGCAGCTCCACCCTGTTGGCGTTAATGTCGCTGTCCGACTCAAGCAGCTTCCGGCGCAGGTAACGGACCAAGAAGCCATTGGCTGGCTCCACGTTGTTGGAAAAAGTCAGCATCCTGGGGGACAGGGAGGGCTCAGCGCTGCACATCTGGACAAAACAATCACCCCCAACGCCGCCTTGCACACCACATGTCCCCCAGGCATTGCCCCCCGCATCCCCCACGGCCCCCTGTGCACTGTATCCCAGGCATCAGCCCCAGCGCCCCCCTGCACCCTACCCCTGGTATCAGCTCCAGCATCCCCAGTGCACTGTACCCCCAAGCATCAGCCCCAGTGCCCCCTGCACTCCTCAGGGCACGGTACCCCCAGAGCTCCCTGGAGCCATGTTATGCGCTGCAACCCCAGCAGTGCTCACCCTAAAGGCTCCTAAAACGCTGCCTCCCAACGCACGCCTCGAGTGCTCTCCAGAGCCTCCCACTGGGGTTGATGGGGCGGGGGGATCTGTTTCCCTGGCCAGCGGGAGCAGGATCGGGCCTGTGCCACATCCCCAACAGGTCATGGCTTCCCTCCAGCGTGGGAGCCCCTGGAGCCCAGGCTGGGCAGGCATAGAAGCAGCAGCCTCAGGGGATGGAGGGGTCAGGTCCAGGGCCCTGCTCAGCCTGGGCCTCCAGGGCAGACAGTGGAGGAGGGACCAGCTGCCGTGCGGGGACTCACAGAGTAGCTCTTGACCCCCACCCAGTATCTTGTTCCCGGTACCTGAAGCTGAGGTGCAGGCCATGGTTCGGGGTCATCTTCACGGGCTGGTTGGTCGTCCCGATGATGTAGGGGCTGGGGAGAGAGAGAGAGAGAGAGAGAGAGACAGAGACAGACAGGGCCTCATGAAACTCTGCACAGCTGCCCCCTGCTTTGGGGTTAACGTCGTCACCCACTGGGGCTGGCATGGAGGAGAGGAAGGGGCAGCGATCCCACTGTCTCCCCCTTCAGGCCGGAGGAGAGATTGGCCTGCTGCCCCCCATCTTGTGGGAGAGAGGCCCAGAAAACAGTCCCCAGCCTCCTCCCGGCCGCCCAGGAGACCCGCCAGGGGACTCGGGTGGGATGCTGGCCCTGGGCTTGTCCTCTGGCCAGGGGAGGAGGCGGCTCCCCAGCTCACATCCTTCTGGACTGGGCTTTGGGAGTGCCATGGCCCTGTGCTAGGGGAGCTGCTTGGGCCCCACTGCTGTCCCCGCAGGCTTCTGCAGAAAAGGACCTAGGGGTTACAGTGGACAAGAAGCTGGATATGAGTCAACAGTGTGCCCTTGTTGCCAAGAAGGCTAACGGCATTTTGGGCTGTATAAGTAGGGGCATTGCCAGCAGATCAAGGGACATGATCATTCCCCTTTATTCGACATGGGTGAGGCCTCGTCTAGAGTACTGTGTCCAGTTTTGGGCCCCACACTTCAAGAAGGATGTGGAAAAATTGGAAAGAGTCCAGCAGAAGGAAACAAAAATGATTAGGGGGCTGGAGCACATGACTTATGAGGAGAGGCTGAGGGAACTGGGATTGTTTAGTGTGCAGAAGAGAAGAATGAGGGGGGATTTGATAGCTGCTTTCAACTACCTAAAAGGGGGTTCCAAAGAGGATGGATCTAGACTGTTCTCAGTGGTATCAGATGACAGAACAAGGAGTAATGGTCTCAAGTTGCAGTGGGGGAGGTTTAGGTTGGATATTAGGAAAAACTTTTTCACTAGGAGGGTGGTGAAGCACTGGAATGGGTTACTAGGGAGGTGGTGGAATCTCCTTCCTTAGAGGTTTTAAGGTCAGGCTTGACAAAGCCCTGGCTGGGATGATTTAGTTGGGGATTGGTCCTGCTTTGAGCAGGGGGTTGGACTAGATGACCACTTGAGGTCCCTTCCAACCCTGATATTCTATGATTCTATGAGAGGGAGAGGGGCCTGGCCAAGGTGACCCATAGCTGGTGTACCTGGGAGGGCGCAGGGAGCCCCCCCAGCCCAGCTCCATGTCACGGGGCAGCTGGCATAATGAATGGGGTGGAGTCCAAGGCGGTGGGGCTGGCTGGAGACCAGGGAAAGTGCCAAGAGGGGTCTGCAGCCACGGAGCATAAGTGTTGTTTCTCCCCCCCCACACACGATGGGCAGACTGGGGTCCCGATGCTCCATTCCCCCCGGATGCCCCCAGTGAGAGCAGAGCTGGGCTCTCACCACAAAGCGCAGGGTGTGGGGGTTGGGGAGCGGGGCTGGGGGGGCCCAGTGGCTGTGGATCCCCAGGGAGCTGTGGCTGATGGCGGGGTCAAACAGCCCCACCCTGCCGGAGCAGTGCAAGGTGCTGGGCACAGGGCGCTACCTGGGGGCGCAGTAGGGTCCGAGGCTTGGATGCCATTGGTGCGACACCAAGCAGGGGGTGGGGCCAGCATGCAGGGGGCGGGGCTCTCTTACCATTTGTGGTATTTGCAGGTGAGCGCTCCATTGACAAGCTCACTGATGGAGCCAGCCTCACTGAGGTCATCGAGGAGGATGACCAATGGCACGTCCCCGATGCCCGTCTCCCGGTCGATCTGATTGGCCAGGTTGGAGAGGTACAGCTGTAGGTCCTGGAATGGAACCGTGGGACTGAATCACCCATCACAGCAGGGAGCGAGGGGTTTCAGGAGCGTGGGTGTCAATGGAGCAGCGTGGTGTGAGCTCAGGGCTGGGACAGTGGGGGGCTCTGGGTCGGGATTGAGGGGCACTGGCTCCCGGGGCTAGGCTAGCAGGGGGCTGTGGGTCGGGAGTGAGAGGCACCGGCAGAGCTGCGGTGTGGGGAACCCGGGGCTGGGACAGCAGGGGGCTGTGGGTCGGGACTGAGGGGCACCGGCAGAACTGCGGTGGGGGGGATCCCGGGGCTGGGATAGCAGAGGGCTCTGGGTCGGGATTGAGGGACACTGGGCAGAGCTGTGGTGGGGGGATCCCGGGGCTGGGATAGCCGGGGGCTGTGGGTCGGGTGAGGGGGGCAGGGGAAGAGGTGGGGGGGGCCCGGGGCTGGGACAGCAGGGGGCTGTGGGTTGGGTCTGAGGGGCACTGGCAGAGTTGCGGTGGGGGGATCCCAGGGCTGAGAAAGCAGGGTCTGGAGTTCTCAGGCTCTCCTGGGGTTAGTGCGGAGGGGGATCCGGGTCCCAGCCATCATGGAGCCCTTCACCTTGCACGACTGCTGGTGCATGTTGAAGGTGTTGACGATGCCCTCGGTGACCTCCCGGCCCGAGCGCTCCACCAGGTACTCGGCCAGCCGGTTGGTCAGGTAGGTCTTGCCCGTGCCGCTGGGCCCTGAGAGGATGAGGCGCCGGTGCTTGAGCAGGAGGCTGATGTAATGCTGCATCATGGGCTTGGGGATGAGCGTCTCGAACACCAGGCTGTCCACGCACTTCTCCTTCAGGCCTGTCGGGGGCAGGGGGCGTTAGAGCGACTGGCTGGGGGCTTTGCAATGGGGCCCACCCCCAGCTTGACCTGAGCTGGACTCTGCCCCTGCAGCACAGGCCCAAGGACCGGGGGCGGGGGCTGCCTGAGTGAGACCCCAGGGCCCCCTCCCCTTCAGGGCACAGCCTGCAGGGCCCCCTTCCCCTGGCAGATCCCCCAGCTGCCTCCCGTCCATGGTGCAAGGAGCCCTGCTGTGGGCCAGGCCAGCCCTTCCCCACCCGGCTCCTGGTGCCCAACCCACGGGAGTGGCAGGGCCTGCTACTGGGGGAAGAGAGTGGGCCCGGTGCCCCCAGCTGGCCCCTGGGCTCCCTCCCCTTCCCTCCCCAGATCCTTAGCTGTGGCCCCTTGGTGCTGAGGGGGTGGGAAGCACTGGACACACGGTGCCCCCACAGGGCTAACGCCAGACCCCCCGTCCCAGTACTGGCCTTTCAGCACCACGGCGATGCTGGTCACGCCCCTCCGGCAGGGGGGCAGCTCTGGGGGCTCCGTGTCCAGGACCCTCTTCACGTGGCTGATGCTGTAGCCGTGCACGGACTCGGTGCTCAGCCCCAGTGTGGAGGCGGGGTCCATCTTGGTGACGTAGTCCTGGGCAGAGAGGGGCAGTGCCGGCGCTCAGCTTCCCTGGCTCCTGCCCCTCAATCCTGACCCACCGCCCCCTGTCATCCCAGTCCTGCGCTCCCCCCCAGCCCAACCAGACATGGCCCCACCTTGCAGCTCTAGGTCCCCGTCGGGCACTGGACAGGTCCCACCAAGGGGAGGGAGGTGCAGGGCTGCTGGGGGACCTGGGCTGGCCTCATGCAGCTCTCACAATAAGCTGGGTGTCACTGGCCAGGGTTAAGCTAGGAGACACGGAGGGGCCGGGGCACCAGCAGTGCCAGGGAGGGGCCTTCCGACGTCAGCTGAGAATGCCACTCGAGAGAGAGGTCCACACCGACTGGATGGGCAGAACGGTCCCTTCTGGGCCGGACATCTAGGAATCCACACGGGAGGTGACGCATGCCACGGTCCAACACGTGCGGAGATCGGCTCCCCTTCTCCCTGCTTCCACCCATCCAGCACAGGCATTTAAAGGCCCCTTAGCCAAGTGTCTCCCCTCTTCTCTGGCTAGGAGCAGTGAGAGCAGAGCCGTGCCCCGCTCCGAACCAGGGCAGGGCCCAAAGCCCAGTTCCCTAGCGCCGCAAACCTCTCGAACCCTGGGAGTTTGGAGGGTCTGTTAGCGTCTGTACCTTGAACACCTGGCAGACGGCTTCATCCAGCGTCTTCCAATCCACCTTCCCGCTCACCTTGCTGCAGCCCAGGAAGAATTCCTGCTGCTTTAAGTCCTGAAAGGCAAAGGCAAAGGCATGAGCATAGCTGGGTCGTCCCAGCTGGCCCCAGCCCTGCTAGCCATGGGCCATCCTGCCGTGAGCCATCCACGCGCCCCAACTGGGTCGTGTGCTTGCCCTGGCCCGGCAGCGCCCCCGGGGTCCTTACCCCTTTGATGATGTGCTGGGGCGGCATGCGCACCACGATCCGCAGCATCACCTCGTCCTTCTGGGCCCCCACGGCATCCATCGGCGACAGGTCTGGGGAGGGAGCAGCAGTCAGCCCTGCTTGCTGCAGGAAGCCACACTCCCCGCAGCAGGCGACAGCCGTCCCCCGACAGCCCTGCGAGCCAGGGCCTGACCCATAGCTTGCTCCGGCTCCCAGTGTCTGCAACGAGGCAGGGTCACGTCCCTCGCCCCAGCTCCCTGGGGTGGACCCTTGGATCTGGCTCCAAGGGCAGGAGGTCCCAGATCCTTTGGGGCTGCCAGGGGTCAGGATTTCCCTGCACATCAGCCCTTCGCCTGCCCCTGCATCCACTGTGGGGCACGGGCTGACCCCAGCCCACAGCAGAGCCCGTGGTAGAGAGGCAGCCAGACCTCTGCCCCAGAGCGGGTTGCGGCTTCGTGCTGTGGTCAGCGGTGCCCACTCGCTGCACAGAGGGCCCATCCCCAATGCATCCCGCTCTCCCTGGTACCTGTATCTGCCAAGCCAGGGCTGAAGGACTGAGCGAGGGCGAGGCCCAGTGAGCGCCGTGGGGACGAGGAGGCTGACGTGCTCCTGAGGTGCCCGGGGATGGAGCCCGGGACTGACGAAGGCCCTGGGACCACCTTGAGCCGGTCGTTCTCGGCCTTCAGGAGATCCACCTCCAGCTGTGGAGAAGGCAGGGGTTACAGAGCAGAGCCTGTGGCCATGGACCCAGATCAGGAACCCTCCAGCTCTGCCAGCACAGGGAAAACAGACCCTGGGCTGCTCCGGCTGGGCTGCTCCAGCAGGGCTCTCAGCCCCCCCCCGTGCCGTGCAGTCACTGAGCCCCGATGCCACAAGACCAGAGCGTGGCCCCACAATCATCAAAGGTTACGAGCCGGACTGTGTGCTCAAAGCACATGCCCCCATAGCAGACCAGGGGTGGTGCCTGGCCCCACCTAGCCGTGCGCCCCACCAGGGAGAGGGCTGGAAATGGCCGGAAGAGGCAGGCCAGGGGAGCAGCCCAGGGTCGATGAGCCAGGCACACTCTGCGGTGGGTCTGTGGCTCCCCACGCAGGGATGGGGCCCTCACCTGCATATTGTGCATGGTCTCACGGAGCTGGTCCAGCTGGTGGGCTGAGTTCAGAGCCTCCAGCCGGATGTCGGTCAGTTTCATTTCCTTCTCCCATAGCTCTGAGCGCAGTTCCGACACCTCCTTCTTCTCCGGCTCTTCCTCCTCCTCGTTGGCCTGGAAGAGCCTGCACCGGGGAAAAGACACCCATAGGGTGGCCAGTGACAACATGTTCTGCTAGGGGGTGCTGAAGCGAGGTGTGACCCCGATTTCCACCCAGAGGCCACTGCTGGGTCTGAGCGATGCTTTCAGAGGAGGCTGAGCAGCAGCCGGATTTGGGGGGGGGGGGGGGGGGGGGGGGCGAGGCCGGGGGCCCGGGGGGGGGGGGATGGATATTGTCACAGGGCCCAGGCAATGCCGATGCCCCGCTGGCTTCCTGTGCCCACGTGGCGGCAGGACCAGCGAGCACTAGGGAAGCAAACAATGCCAGCCAAGCTGCCTCGTCCACCCCCATCCACAGCGATCTAGCCAGAGCAGCAGTGCTGAGGACAATGACTCCACCAGGCCAGGGTCAGTGCTGGATTCCAGAAGGGAGAAAAGGGCCCGGGTGCCCCCCACCACGGCCTGGGGCCTGAGCAGCTGGCACAGGAATCCGAGTCTATGGGCCAGGCTCCCAGCTGGACTCCATGCAGCATCACTGGGTTACACCAGCTGGGGATCTGGCCCCGCGCCAGCCGCAGGGCGAGGGCTGCCCTTACTCAGTGGCATCGATGCCCACGGAGGAGGAGTTGGAGGACTTGATGGAGGGCGAGGCGGTCTCAGTGGAGCCGTGCTGCAGCTTGGGAGAGGACGGGGCTGAGGAGTCGGGGGTGGCGATTTCCTCGATGTCCGAGTAGGAGGAGGCCGACTTTGGGCCCTTCTTGATGCTGAAGGCCTTGTTGAACGAGCTCCGGAGCTGCAGGAGACAAGGACGACACCCAGAAAGGTTAAACCGCAGATCACCCCAGCTGTGACACCAGACACTTCCCCCAGCCATCTCTCATTCTCATCCCGGCTCTGGCCAGCGGGCGATGAACTCCAGGGTCGCTCGGCAGGGAGAGCTTTATCTTGGGTTCCTCCCGGGGGATTCCAGCTCCCCCAGCCCTTCCACTGCTGCACTGGCCCCGTGGGGGAACCCACAGAGGGTGGGTGGATCTCCCATGATCACAAATGCACGTGCCCCGTTTGCCCCCCCCGCCCCACTTGCAAGAGCGGCATCCCGCTGGGTGGTGGCTGCGTCAGAGGAGCCAGCCCTGGGGGAGACCGACCAGGATGTCTGGTGCATCCCCTTGCCTGGGTAGAAGGAAAGAGCCGCTCCGCCTTGCACGTCACCCAGCCCCAGCCAGGGGTCAGCGCCTCTTACGTCCTGCCTGGCTGCCTCCTTTGGCTACTCAGCCACCCCACAGGGGAGAGGGATGCTACCCATAAGGAGGATTTACTGTAAATATTGGGGTCCCTCCAGATCTAAGTGGGGATGGGGACCCTGCATGGCAGAGTGCCCCCCACCCTCTGATCTCCATCCCTGTTGCCCTCACTTGCTGCCCAATGCTTAGGGCCCAGATCCTCAAATCCCAGATCCACCGAGGGCCGCGCAGGACGAAGCTGTAACCTCGGGGGCTTCAGCACAGTCAGAGGGATCCAGCTACGTAAGTTCAGCTACACAAGTTCCAGGCCCATCGGCATTTCGCTGGGCCCTGGGTCAGCCCAGCGCTCCCGGGAAGGAGAAATGGCCTCCCTGAATAAATCCTCCAATGCCGATGGAGGGCAGCCAGGAACCCCCACCCCCATGGGCAGGCTCCACCGTGCCTGCAGCTCTCAGGCACGCTTCCCCTTTACGGAATCCAGAGGTGCGTCTGAGCAAGCAGCAGCAGAGGCAAGCGCTCTCCGAGCCTGGCTGAGCCAGCAAGGCAGTGCCCAGTGCTGGAGGCACATCCATGTTACACTGCAGGGACAAGATCCCAAGGGGCCATGGGCAGGTCCCATCACTGCCCCCTGGCAGCACACACAGAATATGTCCCCCGTGAGGTGGCTCACGGGCATCCACACACAACCCCTTGGCACCCCAGGCCAGCGTGACAGCGGCAGGGCCACTCATGCCATGCCAGTTCCACTGCAGCAGGAGGTGCCCTGGGGCACATCCAGCCCTGCCAGGATTCTGCGGGACTCAGGGGAGTCCGACCAGGGAAGACCTTGGCCTGCTGTCATCCAACCCTCATTTGAAACGACCCTGAAAGGGGACTGCAATATGAGGGAGGCGTGTGATCCAAGCCCACTTCTGGGGGCCCCTCCCTGCTTTGGCAGGGGAGCACGGGATAGTGGGGAGAGCGGCGGCTTGAGTGACAGCACTTGGGGTTTCTCTTCCAGCGCTGCTTTGCTGGGGGGGGGGGGCTGGTTCCACCGTTCAGCCCTATGGGAGGGCACAGCGAGACTGTTACTTCTCCAGCTGCTCTGTCTGGGTCGGGGCTGGCTCAGCTCAAAGCAGCTGTAACCGGTTGCCCTGCACAGGACTCCTGGGACGGGAATTGCCAACATCCAGGGGAGCAGAAGGCAGAGATCAGCCTCAGGTCTCTGATGCGGGATACCCAGTCCTAGTGTTCTCTGGGAAACTCCTTACCGTCTCTCCAGCCAATCGCCAGCCCCGATTCTACGCCCGCAGAAGATGATTGGCTGGCGAGGGATTCTATTCGAATGGGATGGCACCGGGGGAATATTCCACTGCACGCAGCTAGGGGACAGCGTGGCAGAGGAACATCCCGTTCTGGTGGGTGTGGGATGTCCCATTCCCCTAAAGCCCAGCTTGGCTATACCATGAAAGGCAGCGGCCGTGAGGCAGGGAGAGCACAGTCCCTGTCTCTGGGGGCTTGAGTCTGTTCTGACAGGCCAGGCATAGCTGGTGGGAAGCTACGGTATGGGGGAAAAGCACCACAGATTCCAAATCACGGTGCTAGCGCATGGTGGCTGGGGCCCCGTGTGGTGCTACAGAACATCTCTGTGGCTCTGATCACAGAGGAGCCTGGCTCATGGTATGAGGGAGAAGGCCATGCCCACGCAGCTGTCCGTTCTGGTGCCTGATGCCCCCGTTCTGCAAGGCTCATGCCCACCCCCCTGAATTCAGCGGAGCTGCTCCTGCCAATGCAAGGAACCCAACCCAAGGGCGGGGAATCCAGCCCAAAAAGGCTCACCGGACTCTGAGGGCTCGGACATGGGATGCTGCTCGTGTCCAGCCCTGCATGAACCTTCCCCAGCAAGGAGGATGGCAGGGTTGCTAACACGTGACGGGCCTGGCGGCCCAGACTCCTGCTCGATCCGCACCCCAGATGGAGCATGCAGCATGCACACACGCACACACCGAGGGCACAGAACATAGACACCGACTGACAGGACGGCTAGGGGGGCGCCAGATGCTGCGATGGGCGGAGGGGACTCTGAAATGGGGGTGTCGCCTGCCTCATTCGTGGTCCCACACCAATCCCGGATCACTCGAGGAGGCTGCTCCCCTTTAGCGCTCATCCTGCAGGGTGAGCAGCTTTCACATCGACTGCAGGATGCCAACCGGCCCTTGTGGATCGCAGGGGGCGTCACCAGATGCCATGTCACAGGACTGGCAATCCGTGCATTGCCCTTTCCTTACCCTGGCCTTGTAGCATGGCTGACAGACTCGTACGGACCAGGCCTTTCCTGGGAAGTTAAGGCCCTGTTCTGCTCCCACTGGAGCCAATGCAAAGCTGGGTTCAAAGAGGGCAGGACTGGGCCTTGGGGATGGGCATCAGCCTGTTGGCCAGTGGGCTAGGCCTGGTGGGCAGAGCTGGCTGGACAGTATGGTTGGGAGGGAGGGCTCCCTGCTGTAAATGTTGCATTTTCAATGGGGAAAAAAAACGTCAGAAATCAGGAACTGAAATAGTTTGATTCTGAAATGCTGCCACAGTGCTACATGGGAGTTGTAGTTTGGTTGCCTCATGCTCCCGTCCTCCTTCATGGGCTAGAATCCCCAGTCAGACTACAACTCCCATGATGCATGGTCTCCTCTGTGGACAGGAGAGGCTGTGCGTTATGGCAAACGTATGGCCACAGTGTATCATGGGAGATGTAGTTCGATTGGGGAGGTTGTGTGTCCCTGAAATACAATGGGGTCTTTCACAGGATTGCGGAGTTGGCCTTTGCCAACAGATTTTCATATTAAAATATATCTGGTCATGCTGCGCATTTCAGAGGGGAAGGAGGGCGACCCAGCTCCCTCCAAGGATGGACACCGCCCTCTCTGGAGCCAGTCAGCCCAGTGAGAGGAACTGGGGTGCCCTGGGGGATCCAGTGCTACCTTAGGGCCTGAGCCTACATAAATCAGTGCCTAAGGGCTGAAGGACATTCGGCCCCCATCTACTTGGAGCACGTGGCATTGCCGGACACCTTCACCAGAGAGGGGCAGTGACCTGCCCACAGCCCCACGCGGTCAGTGGCAGAGTCAGGCTAGACCCACATCTCCTGACTCTCAAATTCCCCCCCTCCAAGCACCAGAGGATACTGCCTTTGGAGCTGAGTAAAAGAAGGAGCTTGGAGAACTTTGCCCTCTCGTCCGATTTGGTTTCAGCAGATTCGGAATGGGAGTGGGGACGTTGGCGACCCAGGAGCAAGGCTGAGGAAGGGGTCTCAATCGGCTTGGCTGAAGATGCTGACGAGAACTTTGGGGGAGAGAAACTTTAGCCAGGAGGGTCAGTTTAGCCTCTAGAAAGTGTATGGATGATTTTGTTTTCAGCGTAACCTTGTTTCCAGTATCCTCACTCCTCATGACTTGAATCTCTAGTCTTTGATGATGAACGTATTCTCGTGTTTGCTATAAATATATCTTAGCGGGGGTGCTATGCAGAGAGCTGATCCTCTGATATGTGCGGTTCCTTCAGGAACAGCGGGCTGGATAATTTGGTGAGTGCTCAGTGCATCCGGGGCTGGACACACAGGGAACGGGCCGAGGGCTCGGGGCTGGCCTGTACCTGTTGCTACCTGCACAGACCGAGCGAGGCCTGGAAGGCAGGTGGTTTCAGGGACATGAGGTATCATCATAGCTGCCCCGGGGTATTCCCAGTCTGGCCAGCAGCAGCAGAAGGATCCCACGAGCGCCAACCCAGCCCGCTGTCGCATTCCCGAAAGGTTCAGAAAGTTCAGGCTCTAGGGATTCGCTCCTCACCTGGAGGAGGTCGTCCAGAGCGCGGCCTGTATAATCAGCAGCGACTAGCCAGCTGGGGTACCCAGCTTCATAGGTTTCCAGGTTCTGATTAATCAGTCTGACCTCCTGCACTGTCAAGGCCAGAGAACCTGGTCCAGCCACTGCTGCCCTGAGCCCCAGGCCTTGTGGCGGAGACAGAGCATCTCTCCAAAGACCACTAAGGCGTTTCAGGTACCAAAACTCAAGGGCACCCAACAGCCCTAGCCCCCTCTGACAATTCAGACCCAGGAGCCCAACTCCCCTTGGCCAGAGCTCGATGGGGGCTGAGGAGCTGGCTTCAAAGCTAAAATAAGTCAGAGAGGTAGCAAGGCTCGGCAACTCCGGTGGATGGACCATGCTCCACGGGTGGTGAGCGCCAGCGGAATGGATGGAATGGTTAGTTTCATGAGTGCCGTCCCACTGGAAATGAGCCATCGCCCTGGACGGGGGGCAAAACACGGGGAATGGGGGGGTGGGGAAAGGTGTCAGACTTACCTCGTATACCTGGAAAAAAAGGGTTGGGGTCAGCATTGGGGGAGAAAAAACAAAACAAAGCAAGACTTAATCACACACTCTGCTCAGAGCCCTGCCTGGGGTCAGTGCATGGCTAGGGAGCCCTGGAGACCAGGGCAGCCTCCCCTAGCCTGCTGCTGCTGGCCCTTCCCCTCTACCTGAGCTGGGATCTGGAAAGAAGGGGGGACCGACCCCCATGGGGAGTCCTGGCATGGGAGGGCTACCGGGCTGGTCCCTGCTCTGTCCGGCTGCATTGCGGGAGCCAGCGGTTCCAGTGTGGGACTGGAGGGTGAGAGAGATCAGTCCGGAATGGTGCACACGTACTAGAACTGGGCTGGGGAGCTTCGAACCCCGCCCAGCCGGCGACTCAGCCCTCAGCCCCAGAGCCAGAGTTGGCAAAGCACTTCCGAGAAGAAGTCCCGGCCTGCGGCGTCCCCACGGGGCAGACAGCAGCGTGCTAATCCGGGGCACCAAGGGTCCAGCCCCATGCCGCCCCGGGGTGCCTTGTGCGCTAAGAACACAGCGTGGAGAGTCCGATCCTGGGCCAGATCCTGCCATGATTTCCCCCCACGCCGCACCCTGCGCCTCCTCCCCGCCAGCCCCCGACCTACCCAGCTCTTCTTCTTCTTCTTCTTGGCGTCGGCATCCTTGCCGCTGCCGATGCTGGAGTGGCTGGTGATGCTGTTGAGGCTGGAGATGCTGTCGGAGGAGTTCTGCCTCTTGATGCGCAGCTCTGGGGACCAAGGGAGGGAAGGCAGAGAGAGAGAGAGAGAGAGGCTGAGAATCTACGTGTTGGCACAGAGCCCCCCCCACTGGGGCCATTCGCGCACCCCATCTATCCTGCTCTGCTCCCCTGGCTCAGCCAGCACCTTCCCCAGCTCCTGCACCCTGCAGTGGCTTCCCTGGATTTCTCTGCACTTCGCTTGTCCAGCGCCATGGGGATCCTTATCTTCCCTTACGGGAGGAGTGTGCTGTCTCCAAGAAATCTGTGCTTATGGGAGCTTTGAGACATTTTGCCACCATCTAATAATGGTTCTTTGTCCTCCTAGAGCACCCTGCTAGTTTGGGGAGCAAGGGGGAAGGATCAGAACCCCATGGTGGCAAATAAGGGCAGTACACAACTCTCAGCTATTGGTTCAGGCTCTCTGCAGACTCAGGCAGACATCTCTGCAGTAGTTACATTTGGATCAGGCTTTCAAAGCACCAGAAAAGCTAGAAACAAACGTGTGGAACGAAAGCTGGGATTCCCACAGTCCTGCAGCAAAGGGGCTGGGTTCTCTGGTCAATTCTGTGACAGGGCTCTGTGCAGGCTGGGTTTGCACAGACTGTAAGAATTAGACCCAGATGCTGAGCACCACAGTGAGATTTCCAAAGGTGTTTCGGTGCCAAACTCCCATTGAAATCAATGGGAGCTCAGCGCTTGAGACCTTTGAGGATCTGCGTCCCAGTGCCCTGTGAACGGCTGGTTGTAATTAACAAGCCGCTCCTTGCCATGCACAGCAGCAGCTTGCTCCCATTGGGATATGCTGACAGACCACGCAGGGTTCTCTCTCATCACCGGCCAACGTTATTCTGTTTCAATGAGATTCCAGATTCTCTCTCCTGCCTGGACTTGAAAGAGACGCTCATACATATTGCATCAAATACACAAGGACCCGGCGACAGTGACACGGATCAGACATGTGCTGCTGAGAGACGGGAGAGGCTGATGCAGGATGGTCTTTGCTGGGGCGGTAGAGAGGACACCCCATCTCCCCTGGGGGAGAACTCAAGACATTGCACTGGGGGTGTTTTAATCCTCCCGGCTCCTTGTGAATGAGCAGAACCCCATCGTCCCCCTTTCCTCCCCGTCCTGGCGAGGATCTGGATCCCCTGCCTTGACGAGCACACGGCCCAGGGGTCTAGATCACAGGCCTGGCGCTGGCCCCACAGCAGCAAGAAGCGGGGGTGGCAGCACTGCCACAGAGCCTGGCTCACCTTTGGGCGTGATGTCAGTCCCGTTCAGAGCTCCTTGGATCACGGCTTGGGCCTCTGAGTTCTTCTTCTTCAAGAAGTCGATGGTCTCCCGCAGGTCCACCAGCTCCGTGTCCTGGCAGAAGCACAGGGAAATTACCCTGTAGTTCCCGGTTGGGTGGAGGTGCCAGGGACATCGCTAACCCACGCCCACAGCAAGCCCCTCCCCCCCAGCCAGGACACATGCCAGCTGCTTGCTCAGGGTGCTGGGCACAGGAGGCTACCAGCCTCCAGGGTTAATAGCCAGAGTCCTCCAGGGATGCCCAAGAGAAAAGGAGGGTCTGGCTTGTGCCCCTGGGCCGGACCTTGCTGTCCAGGGATGAGCCCGGCCACTGCAGGGCAGCCCACGGCACCAGCCGGCACAGATCCAGGGACACAGGAGAAGCTCAGGCCCAGCAGGGCGAGCGAGGGCGCTATGCGTGGGGATAGGTGTGTCTCTAGTCAGACAGCTCCCCCAGGGATCAGCCCGCGGCACGGCCAGCCTCCTGCGAGGATGTGGCAGGCTCTGCTCCTTCTCCGGGAAGAGGTTTCCCCATCACCCAGCGGGCTGGCTGGGGCGCTGGTGGCGCTTGGGCCCTCTCCTGGACGGAGGTGCCGGCCTGCCCATGGGTCAGGCGCCCCTTCAGCAGGTGAAGCCCTGAGGGGACTCTCAGGGAGCTGCGCTGAGCCCAGTGCCAGCGAATAGGAGACCCCCGGGGGGAGGGGGTGAGACCTGCTCCCTGGCACAGAGACCCCGGTGCCCTGCCAGCTGCCCAGTTCTCCCTGTGCAGCACCCACCTTCTCTTCCGCGGTCTCTGCCAGCTGGCGCAGACGGGACGTCATGTTCACCAGGCTCTGCTCGAAGGCCGCCACCAGGTTAGCCTGAAAGGCAGCGGGAGAGGGCATCACGCTCAGCTGGGGAACGGAGAGCACGGTGGGGAGCCAGACTGGCAGCCGCTGTGTGGCTGTGTGGCAAGCACCCGGTGTGGGGGAGGCGAGCATGTGGCATTCCCCCCTCACCTCCCAGCATGCTGCTTTACTGCCTGCTCTGTCCCGGAGGGACCCAGGCTCGCAAGCCCAGCAGCCCCGCGTTGGGCTCGCAGCCCAGTCCATACTATAGCCACTGCCTCTCGGAACAAGGGCGGGGAAGGGCTCTGATCTCTCGCCACCGGGGAAGAGGCTCTCTCCCAAGAAGGGGGGGGCGGGAGCCAGAGGGAAGGTGCCGGAGGTGGGGATGGACACCTGGAGTCTAGGGTGAGGGGGGATGGGGCCTGGGGTAGGAGCAGGCGGGAAGGGAGCGTGTGGCCCTTGCGCGAGGGTTCCCCCAGGGCTGACAGTGGCTGGGAGGGTTCTCAGCTCGGTGCCTGCTCCGGGTCCTGCCTCTCCGACCCCTCTGGTCCTGGAGCCGGTAGTGCCGACACCACAGACATGCCACGCCACATGGTGTGTGCAGTCTCTCCCGCTGGGACGCAGCAGGCCATCTCCCAGGGCCACACCTCCTCCACGCAGCAGCCAGGCTTCCCCGGCGTGCCAAGGGCCCTGCGCACCATGGGGATGCTGCGTGGCTCCGGGGTGGCGCTCCTGCCCTGCAGAGAGCAGCCGTGTGGGGGGATGATCTGAGTGGGGAGGTGACCCCCCCCCACAAGGTAGAGCAGGGGGTGCTGTCAAAACGGGCATCTTCCTGCAACCTGCCAGTTGAGGGGGCCAGGCACAGGGGACGCACTGGCCTCAGGCACCCCTAAGGACACTCCATTGCCAGCTGCAGCAGCTGCTACTCTGACCCATCTCCTCCGCCTCCCTGACCAGCTCCTGTCTCAGGGAGAGCTGCACAGGCTGGAGTGCCTCTGCTGGGCACTGGCCCCTGCATCTCTGCCTTGCCCACCCTTCGGTACCAGCTCTGCCCCTCACGTCTGCCACGGGGTGAGCTTCCCCTCCTTGTTCCTGGCAGGGTCATCTGCTCGCCAGGCCAGGGTGCGCCCGACCCCTGCCTTGTCCCCGGGACGATGCCCCAGCACTCCTCCCCCCCATCTTTAGGATATTACCACAGTTGGCATTATAGTGGGTCCAGAGACCTCTGACGATGCCCCCCACTCTGGACAAGCACTAGGCCTGGCCTGGAGCTGCGACTGGACTCACGTTGGCTGACAGCTGAGACGTCAGGGTCGCCACCTTCTCCTGGGACGACTCCAGCTCCCGGCGCAGCTTGCGGATTTGCTGGAGGGGAGAGAAGGCAAAGGGGGAAGGGTCAGGGAGAAGTGGGCCGCTCCCCCCATCGGGGGCCGGGAGCGAGCCGTCAGGGCGGGTGGAGAAGTGGGGTCTCACCGTACCTCGGATTGCATCCTCTCCTCCGCCTGGCAGAGCGCAGCGCAGCAGGAAGGAGAGACAGACAGAGGCCAGCATTAGGACATAGGGGGGAAGTGAGGGGCAGACAGGCAGAGATTGGGGGGCAGAGCCATGCACAGAACTGAACCCCGCCCCAAGCCACCGTGGGGCTCCTCCCGCAAAGCCATCCAGACAGCAGCTGGCTGCGGCCACCCCTGCAAGGCCCTGTGGGCGCGGCCTGGCCCGTGCCCCACCCCCCAGACGTGCAGGTAACAGGAGCGCCCCGGCGCAGGCGGGGGGACCGTGGGAGCAGCTCTTACTGAGGAGTAGGTGGAGGAGGCGCTGGAGGCCAGGGACAGCACCGATCCATGAACTGCAACAGAACAAACATGCCTGAGTCACGGAGCCCTCCACCGTGCCCTGGCTGAGAGCACGGGAGTTGGGTGGCGGGGGAAGGGGAGGCAGCGCTGGCTTTCCCAGAGGGGTCTGTGGGGCGCCACAGCAGGGGATGAATGGGGGGGGGGCAGGAGGGGTACTGCAGAGGTTACAGGCAGGGGCCACATTCAGCTGGGCAGCCTGCCCTGGCAAATCACCCTTGCCACAGGGCACCATCCAGCCAAGGAGCTCACATTGCTGTAGGGACACTACTAAGCAGAGCCTGACCACCCCCAGGACCCTCCTCATCCCTGGGAAGAGCTGGGTCAGCATCACCATCCCCGCTATACAGCTGGGGAAACTGAGGCACTGGGGCAGGAGGAATGGGGGGCCTTGCCCCAGGTAACACGGCGAGGCCCAGCCAGGAATAGTCCGACTCCCAGCCCTGCGCTTTGCCCCCATGTCCATCTGCTCATCTACGCTCAGGGACCTGCGAGCCCAGAGCCAGGTTTCCAGCCCAGCTTTGCACGAGCAGCCCCTGAGCTCAACCCCCCCTCCCCCGATAGGCCTGTGCAGGTTCCTTCCCCCAGAGGAGCCATGGAGCCTGCACTTGGGGGCAGGGAGCAGACAGAGCCAATAGGCCCAGCCACTGCTCTCATGCTCAGTGGGGGAGGCTGGTTTGACCCATCCTGCTGCCTTGGGACTGACAGGATTCCCCACTCGCTTGCTAGCAGGATTAACCCTTTCTTGTCTCCCCCACAGTAGCAGGAAATGCTTCGGTGCTCGGGATCGCGAGTGCCGCCGCTGCCACCAAAAGGGATGCCCAGGGCATGGAGGGGCAGGCAGGGGACCCTGGAGCCATGCTACCCCCGGATAACGGGGAGGAAGAGCCCGTCGCTCCGGCCGGAGCACGAGTGTCTCACCGTCGTCCGCAGGGTCCCGGAAGGAGCCCGAGCGGATCATGCCCTTGGGTCTGTCTGCCAGGGAGAGGGTGCTGCCCATCTGGGAGGTGCTGTAGAGCTCGAAGGCGGAGTCGTGGGTGGGGATGCTGTTGGAACGGGTGATCCGCGGAGTGGTGGCAGCAGTGGGACTCACTGCATGGAGAAGGCAGGGGAGGGAGAAGAGAAGAGGCAGGGTCAGAAACGCGCCTGGCCCAGGGGAGCGGAGCAGCAGGGAGCGTGGGGCGGGGAGGGGCCGGAGCCCTGAGGAGCCAGGGACGCGGGAGGGTGGGGGAGGACGCCACACACAGTCACGCTCGGGACCAGAGCCTCAGGACGGGGAGACTCGAGCGAAGCCAGTACCGCGAGGCTGAGGGATACCTGCTGGGGCTGGCCCACGCGCTCTCCCAGGTGGTGAATCCTGGGAACAGCGAGTTCATGCCAAAGCCGGTGTCCATCAGGAGTAGCCCCACTGGGCCCCAATCCCTCCCCGCACTCACTCCGGTGTAAAACAAGAGTAACACTGGGCCCGCTCCCCCGCTCACTCACTCCAGTGTAAAACAGGAGTAACACTGGGTCCAATCCCCCGCTCACTCACTCTGGTTTCAATCAGGAGTAACCCCACTGGGCCTGAACCTTCACGCTGGTTTAAATCAGGAAAATCCCTCTGACGCCAGTTCCTCTGGCACAAGCGAGAGAAGTGGGCCCCACACCCGTGAGGGACTCTCCTACCCGACAGTTTGCCTCCCACTCACTTTCATTGGGGGCGCTTTCAATGGGAGCCCCCCCGCAGCTGGGCTATGTCAGAGCATGGCCCTTTGTGAGGAGGCTGCCCAGAGAGGAAGCAGAGGGCAGGTGCCAGAGGCTGGGCAGAGGGCCCAGGGGGTGGATTAGGCACTTCATGGGGCTTCTCCACCTCTGGTTTCTATGGGCAAGGCCCTCTGGCCCCGCCAACAAGCCAGCTCCACCCTCTGGAGCACACAGGCCTTGCTGTGATCCTTGCTGCACAGACACCAGGGGCCAGCTCCTCAGCTGGCATAAACCAGCAGAGTTCCCGGGACGCTGTTTTCAATGGCGCTGCGCTGATTTACACCCGGCCACGGCAAACTGACCGATATTCGTGAGTGGGCTTTTTCCGGCCAAGGACACGGAGAGGGCGGGAGGCGAGGGCAGCTCTGACTGGTCATCTGACTCTGGGAGCCCGCCGATCGTGTGGGAGTGGCGCCTCTCCTTGGTCTCCTCTTGGGACTGGAGCTGGTACCTGCCAGGGCCGAGGGAGAGATCAGCAAGGCGACGCTGCTGGGGGTCCCCGCTAGTCCATTTTCCCCAGCCAGGGTCGAGTTGCCAAAGGGCTTCGGAATGGCCACGGCTCTCGCCAAAGAGTTCAGAGTAAAGCCACGTGGCAGATCCTTGCGCCCACTGGGACGCTGTGGGGGCAGTTCTAGGGGCTCGGTCCGCCTCTCCCTCCACAAGGATCTGACAAAGCCAATGGCGAAGGGGAAGGCTTGGCCTGTCTCTGGAGTATCGGGCGCACCAAGGAGGTGGAGGGCTGGGCTCAGCTCTGGTGTAGCAAACCCTTCTCTTGCCAAGATGTCCCCTTCAGCCCTGAGGCATTTCCCGCTGCCCGGGACAGCACAGGGGAGGCCGAGATGCCAGCCGCAGCACTGGGAAGCCAGGTTAGGGGGCATGGGCTCGACATGACAGCGGGATCTCTGGCATCGATGAAGGGCTGGTCTCCCGCTGTTCCGGGGACGATATTCTGCCCTTGCTCTGAGTGACCTGCGGTGCCCTGGGCAGCAAAGCTGCACTATTGGTGCAAGAGGGTGAGGGGCCGGGAGGATGGCCCAGTGGTTAGAGCACTAGCCTAGCAAACCGGTGGTCAGTTCCTTGCTCTGCCACAGTGACCTTGGGCAAGTCCCTTAGCCTCTCGGAGCCTCAGGTCCCAGCACTAATGGAGGGCCAGTACCCCACTCCCTGCAGCTGAGAGGTCCCAGAGTGACCGTGAGGGGCCACACAGGCATTGAAGTTTTACCTCAGCCCCTTCTTGGGCAGCGTGTTCCGGTCGCGGTTGGTGCTGGGGAGGAAGAGAAACACGAGTCATGGTCGGCTCCGCGGGCTGGGAGAGGGAGGGCACTCGCCAGGGGCAATGCCCAGCTGGGGGCCATGCCAGCTTGGTGGTGGGAGCGGGTATAGTAGGGGCAGGTGACCCCAGGGACCTGGCGTTTCCAGGGTGCGGCGGGGATTCCGGCCCGAGGCTTGTGCCTCACAAAGCTGTCCACCCCTAGGGCTGCCGGGTGCCCCAAGAGGTCAGGCAGCCCTCCCCACGGGAGCATGGTGGGGGTTGGGGTTCTGGGCCCCCCATAGCATAGCAGGGAGGCTCTGGAACCCCCCGCCCCCGATAGCTGAGCTCCAGCACATCTGGGAGGTGGCCCTGCTCCTGCCCACCCTCCCCTTCCTCAGGCGGCACCTGTCCAGATGTGCTGCTCTCGGGCTGCCAGTCCAGCCCTGCTCGCTGGTCTCCTCCTCTGTGCTGATGGGAGGGGTGGGAGCAGGGGCAGGGGTGGTGGTGGTGGTGCTGCTCCCGGAAAAGGCACTGGGCAGGCTGATTGGCATCTGCAGGGACTCCATGCTGCGGTGCAGGCCCGAGAGCTTGGGGTACATCCTGCCCTCCTTGGGGACGCTGAAGCCGCTCATGAGCTCCAGGCCCTGGGAGAAGCTGGCCGAGTTGATGTTGAGGATGGGGGCGGGGCTGGGGGCGAAGCAGGGTGTGAGGTGCCCGGCCGCCGGGTGCAGGTCCTGCCGCTTGCTGGCGTGGGGCTGGGGCAGGTCGTTGGAGGAGGGCAGGTCCAGGCTGTTGGAGTTGACCTTGTCCAAGTTGGCCAGGGAAGGGGGCTTCACGTAGCTCTTGGCAGGCGCCCTGTGGGAACACAGAACTGGGTTGGGGAGGGGCAGCAGAGACGCCGGGCCTGAAGCTGAGCCCAGACGGGGGAGGAAGCTCGGCTGTTCACCCAGCCCAGCCTGCCAGGGGAGAGCATGGTGGGGCCCGGCCCGGCAGGGCCCACATCCTGCACTCGCAGCATATGGGGCCCAGCCCCACTGCTGAGGCCTGACCCACTTTTAGGGAGAGAGTTTAAAAAAAAAAAAAAAAAAGGCACTTGAACAGTCTGTTGGAGACCCTTACTCTAGCAGTTTCTCTAGTTTCACATACCGCCCACCCCGTACCCCCTCAGTGCTCTCCCTGACCGAGGTCTACATCCAGATGCCAGGGTGACGGGCAACTGTACAAAACCCCAAGGCTGATCGACAGTCACACATACCCCTCTGGATAATATGCTTCCCCCCATGGCAGGAGAAGGCAGCGCCATGGGGATTTTCTATATAGACACTGTTGCTTTGGGGTCCCCAACCAGAGTTTGGAAGAACCCCCTTGGGAGCGGCTTTCTTAGCCGCAGCGAACTCCCTTCTTTATCCCATACACACACGGGGGTTTGTTCCTGTTGGCTGGGCTCCCCTCTTCAGTGAGTTAGTGCAGTGCTACTCACTGGCACCAAGCTGCATGCGCTGGTGTGTTACTGTAGGGTTGCTGGTTAGGAACAGGCAGCTGGTATCAACAAAAAAAGCAAACTACCCCAAGCACTACGGAATCAGTGCCAGCTGGCCAAGACCAAGGATCTGACCCTGTCAGGCCCCTCTCTCACGTACCCATAGGGGAAGAGGAGGGTGATTGTGTTTGAACTCGTGAAAAAATCCCCCCTGCCCCCCCAAGAAAAGTTCAATTTTTCAGCAACTGTTTTGAACACTGACAACTCTTAGCTGAAAACCAAGAATATTTCGCTTGGAAAGACCACCACAATGCCTCATGGGAGCTGTAGTTCGACTGCCTCATAGTCCCATTCGCCTTGATCTGCCCGACTTCCTAGTTGGAATACATATCCCATGATGCACCCCAGTCTCAGCTCTTGGGAGAGGGAAAACATGCATCCTAAGAGACCCTAGCTGTGATGCATTATGGGAGATGGAGTCCAGCTGAGGAGCCCAGCCCATACGGAAGAATGGAGACAGGAGGTAACTGAACTACAACTTCCAAGAGACACTGTGGAAAATATTGAAATATTAGGGGTTTCGGGTGTTTGATTTCTTAGTCGAAAACTCAGTTTTCCATTAAAAGCCAGTTAAGATGGAAAATGTCTGACTAGCCCTCATGGCAAGCTCAGGGGAGGAGCCCTGGCTCAGGCTGGGGGGTGGCTGCCTGTGGCAGTGGGGCTGGTGCTGGGAGGTTTCCCTGGCTCCTACCTGAGCGGTGTTGGGGGCAGCTCGGCCACTTTGGCAGCAGGCAGGTGGCTGGCTTGGGCCTTGGGGGTGCTTTCGGGGGAGCCGATGCTCTTCAGCGAGACGCACTCGGAGTCCAGGGCCACGGCCTTGGCTTTGGCTTTCTCCTTCTCGCGGTCCGTCTGGTTCACCGGGGCCGGCGTGCTCCGGCTCGTGCCGATCTTGGAGGGCTCCTTGAGCCGTGACACGGAGATGCCCCCTTGCTTGGTGCTTAGGAGGCTGGGGTCGATGCTGCTGCTCACAGGCCGGTTCCCGCCACGCCCGCCCGTCACACTCATGGAGCTGGATTTGGCCGGCCGCGGCAGGCTCCGGTACTGGATGTTGGAGCGAGCCCCGGGCGCCAAAAAGCCAGGCTCCCCGGCGTTGGAGACATCCAGGCTGGTTTTCCTCCCGTTGACAGGCTTGACAGGGATGCCGGAGCTCTTCTGGATCTTGCCGAGCGTGGCCGAGCCACCTGCCTGCATCACCGTAGCCGTGCCGGTGGCAGGAGGCGGCTTCTTGTAGCCGAAGGAGCCAGAGGTAGAGGGCCGGGCGAGCCCCGAGGGAGGCTTCTTGGCATCCCCGATCCGATCCCGGCCAGCGTCGGAGGAAGAGCGCTGCAGGCCCGCGTTCTTCACAGACAGCTTGCTCTTGTCAGTGGCTTTAGCTTCAGGTTTGCCTGGGGAGAGCAGAGCGAGATGGAGAAGGTCACAAGCAATAGAGGAGAGTACCCCAGCCCCCTGGCCCTTCTGGGATTGGACTCCCCTGGTACAACGTGGGCTCCTGTGGCTAGGAAACTTCACCCCATCCAGGGAGCTTCTGTTCTGCAAACAGCCTTGCTCTCTTCACTAGGTCGCACTGGAGCAGGGTATCACGCTGTTCAACATGGAAATCTGGGCACGGTTTCCAGGCGAAAAACAGCCTCATTTTAAGGCAGAACCGAACCAAACTTGAAAGGCATCAAATCCCCCAGAGTGGAAGGGTGCTGCCCGGTACGGGGCACGAACACCGGGTCACGTCAAAGATTTACACTCAACTTTTGCACAAGAGCCGGCCCGTGCCCTGCTCCGTTCTGTGGTTCTTGCCAACTGGAGGCAAATATGGCAACCCTGGGACGGACTGAGCCCACGGGACGGGGAATACACTGCGGGGAACAGTCCAGCACGGGCCCCTGGGATGATGGGACTGACGGGCTCTCTGATGGCTGCTGTCACAGCAGGACGTGATGTGACACCTCTCACGCCCCCGGGGAATCAGAGTGATGTAGGGGCTCTGCAGCCGTGCTACAGTGACTCTCAGGGATGGCGCCAGTGGGGTGGGTCTGGCACCAAAGGCAGCATGAGCCCGAGGTCACCAGCTGCCCACATCGCCCAGTGGCCTGGGCGAGCCCTCGGTGGATTGTACCCTGCACATGTTCTCCCCTGGGGAGGGGTGTACGACCCCTGTAAGGCCCCCTAGAGCGTTCTCCAGGAGGACGCAGCACTCCCCTCTCATAGCCTTCCTTAGGAGGTGTCACGGAGTCCCCGGGCGATGTTCTGGAACTGCTCCCCACAAAGCCAGTTAGGACTTTGGGGAGCCTCCTCTCCCTTGGAGCAGACTGTCTTCAGGGCAAGAAGCTCACACGGCTTCACCTCCTGGGAGCATATGCCCCTCCGTGCGCTTCCCACAGCGAGTCCGCCCAGGCCGGGTCCTGGGGAAGCCAAACGGTTCTGCACCCCCCACTTCGCAGTCAGATGTGACTCTCAGCCAGCCAGTAAAACAGGTTTATTAGACGACAGGAACACGGTCTAAAACAGAGCTTGTAGGTACAGCGGCGAACGGGACCCCTCGGCCGGGTCCATTATGGGGTTCAGAGAGCCAGACACCCACGTTTGCCCTCACTCCTAGTCCCCAGGTAGCTCCAACTCCCAAACCCCCTCCAGCCCCTCCTTCTCTCGGCTTTGTTTCTTTCCTGGGCCAGGAGGTCACCTGATCTCTTTGTTCACCTTTAACTATTTCCTTGCAGTGGGGGAAGGGGCCCTGGCCATTTGTTGCCAGGGAGACAGAGTGTCAGTGATTTATGCACACTGGCCTTTCCCCACCACCTAGAGACTTAAGAAATGCATAGGGGAAACTGAGGCACCCACACAGTATTTACAGGGAACATTAAGAACAGTCCCACTTCGTCACAGGAGGTTCCTAGCCGATCCCCAGGCTGAATCCTGAGCACGCAGCCGCTTCAGCCAGCCAGGGGGATCGAACCCCTGCCCGGGAGCTAAGGGAGTAGCTGGCTGGCGTAATCCCCGTGCCAGCCACTAGGGGGAGCCCTGACTCCACACACCGGGCCCGTCTGTGGCACATCTCACTCCTGAGGCTGGAGGGGTCGTGCCCGTTTGGCCAAACCCAGTGAAGGCGTGGGAAGGTGGGAACACCCAACACCCTCCCCCCCGCTGCAGCCTCACCTGCAACTTTGAGGGTGCTCTGGGCCGTGTGGGTGATGGGCGAGGTCACTGCCACCGGGGGCGTCTTGCCCTTCTTCAGGGACCCCGGCGGGCCCAAGCTGACGGGCTTCTTCAGCTCCCCCCCCTTGGCAGGGGCCTCGTCGCAGCTCTCAGCCCGTTCCCGCCGCCACTTGGAGGCGCCGTGCTCCATCTTGAGGCTGCCGCTGTCGTAGTCCAGCTTCTTCGGGCCCTTCTCCTCCGCCTCGCTGTACCAGCTCAGCCCGCTCTCGGCCAGCGAGCGCTTCTCCGAGTCCGTGCGCAGCTGCGCGGGGTGGGGACAGAGAGGTGAGGGGGGCAACGCTCTGCCAACCCCACCCGCCGCCCGCCCAGGAGACGCTGCCGCTTGGGGAGGAGAAAGCAGGGGCCTTCCCCTCTAGATCACAGGCCTCTCACCCTTGAGGACGGTGCAAGGGGCTGGGGTCCTGGTTCTCTTCCCAGCTCCACTACTAACCCGCTGCGCGTTGCTGCCCCAGCCAATGCCTCAGTTTCCCTCTCTGCAGCATGCCCGAGGCCATGCAGGGTCAGTGCCGGAGCCAGGAAGAGACGTCAGGATCCTGACTTGCCCCAGTGCCATTGCCACAAAGGCTCATTCTGCTCCTGTACCAGGGCTGGAGACAAACTCTTTAGATGCAGCGTTACTGCTGGGGAAATGGGACAGCCCCACACTCTGATGGCCTAGACTCCTCTATAACCCAGAGCAGGCTCTGGGGCCAGCCCCTCTGCGGGCAGGTCGGGGCAGCCCGGCTGAAGTCAACGGAGCGATTCTAACTGGCGTCAGCTGGGCTGGCCCTGATCGGCAGAGACAAAGTCCTTGCGCGCCACTGCCCCATCTGTGGTGAGATGGCGGGTCGTGGTCTTAGCCACCAGTTGCCCATGTCACTGGCACATCCCCCTCCCACTGGCGCTCTCACTGGGACATGGGCCGCCCCTCTCCAGGTCTGCCCGCCCCGCCCCTTTCGCCAGCGCTGAACAGGCACAAAGGAGGTGGACCCGTCCCGACCTCCGCGGGGTGGCCAACACGTACCGCTATGGCCGAGTTCCGCCGGGAAGCCGTGGGGCTGGACGGGAGGGAGTTGAGGGAGGAGCTGGCGTTGAACTCTTCAGAGCTGAGGTTGTCAGAGGCATCGCTGAGGCCGCTGCTGATGGAGCTGCTCTCATCCCAGCTGGAGCAGGGGAGGGAGAGAGAGAGAGAGAGAGAGAGTTACCCCCACTGAGCGCAGCCGCAAGTGCTGTGTGTTACAGGAGGAGAACAAGGCTGCAGCTCCTACCCCCAGGGCTCCCAGAGAAAAACAGCCAGCCCCCCTGCCATCCAAAGGGCTTTCCGTGCCAGCACACCCACCACAGCCTCCATGGGAACTCTGATCCAAACAGTCCCAAACCTGGGGGCGCACACAACTGGTATCTGGGTTCTGCAGCTCGGGCCCATCCCTCGTACCAAGGAGCGGGGAGGAAGCTCGGAGAAGAGCAAATAAATTCACTGGAAGCAGCCTGGCTGGCGGATTCCCCAGGAGGGGAAGCGTTTACGCGGCCAGCCTTAGGAAGAGCAGCCAATAACACATTCTCCCGCGTGGGTTACGCCTGCGGGGGGCTGGAGAGCTGCTCTTTCCCGTCCGGGCTGTGGGCCGGGATTTTGGGAAGAACAGGAGGGGGTGGGATGTTCCTCCAAAGGCTTCATCTCCGCTATTGTGACATGCTTTAAACCCAGCTGGAGCGCCCGCAGGGACTGGGTGGGTAGCAGGACTAGACTGGCTACAGCCCAGTTTGAAGCATGCTTAAGCCCAGGTTTTAAAATCATCCATGAGATCATGGGTCACAAAGACCTGGGGCTTGGGCCAGCGGCGGTGACATGGCAGGGGGCCATGCTAGTCATGTCTGATCAGTCCCGTGCAGAAGGGGCCGAACTACCCAAGGCTGCTTGTCACCCAAATGTGGTTTGATGCTATTCAAACATGATCCCGTATCGTGGTCCAAACCACTGGCTAGCTTTCCCAGGGGGAGGGCACCGTGCCAATCCCTCCTAGCCACAGGGCCGGCCTCAACATGAGAGCTAGCCGTGAGCTCTGGTGTGCTCACTAGGGGCCTGATCCTGCCCCTGTTCGAGTCACTGGCAAGCCAGCTTGTTCGACGTCTTCAGTGCGAGAACAGGCGGGGGGGGTCCCTCAGTCCCATTGCTGACCCATTAGAGGGCACCAGCAGGACGGCACAATGCATGTCCCCCAGCATGGACAGGGCAGGAGGCAGACAGCTGGTCATCCAGCCACTAAGAAGCACATTTCACGTAGCTAGTCAGGCGGCAGCCAGTGAAAAAAGCCCCAGGATGGGTGTGTGTAGGGGTAGTCCTAGCAATCAGTTTGCCTGTGCCTGGCGTTCCTATGATCCTCCAGAGCCTGAGTGTCCTAGAGGACTGTCAGGGCAGAGACTGGGTCCCTGTTGTGCCCAGATTGTACAAGCACCGACGATCCCACTTGGATCAGTGCTCCGGGGCCCCAGACACATTAACACAGCCCAGAGCAGAGGATAGCAACCAGCTCTCCGGCGGCCCAAGGGTTAATACAGATCCTATTGACTCTTTGACCTAACTAACCCCATACTGCACTGACCACTCCACTGGCCGAGGGAGATGTGACCCTTTTATCTTTGACAGGGATTGAAGATGGGCTGGAAGCAAACCCCGCATTCCCAAGCCCCACAGGACCCAAACACAGCAAACCACTCCCCATTGTGGGGCCTGAGCTCACTTCTAGCAGCCACTGATCCAGATAGATTAGTAGATATGGAGCTGCTAGATCTGGAGTCACTCCACTGACACCAGGTAGCTAAGAGACACTGCACCTTGAAGCAGGTTGCCCAGTGCAAGTTTGTCTTTAACCACTGCCCCAGGGGAAAGATGCAACATGGACGCCACTGGGATTTCTAGAGCAGTTTTTACATTTCAAACCCACTCCAGCCCCCTGCCGCTAGGGTTACCATTCGTCCGGATTCTGCCGGACATGTCCGGCTTTTTTGAGTTAAAAATAGCGTCCGGGAGGAATCTGTAAATGTCCGGATTTCCCCCCAATGCAGAGCGCGCGCGGCTGACAGGGCAGCCGGCCGGATCATGCCTCGCACGGGGCTTTGACAGCCAGAGCCCCTTCTCCACTTCCCCCTCCTCTCCCCTGCAACTTGAGACCACTCCCCTCCTCTCTCTCCCTCCCTCCCCCTCCCTGCATTCGCAGATCGCTGGCTGGCCGTTCATATCGGGCCTCCGGCAGT